ACAAAATAAATGCCCTATATGACAAGCCCACAGCTAGTATCATACTTAACAGTGAAAAACAAAGTTTTTCATCTAATATCAGACACAAAACAAAGATACCCACTCTCACCATTATTACTCAACATAGTACTGGAAGTTCAAAATAGAGCAGTCAGGTAAGAAATAGAAATAAAAAGTATCTAAATTAGAAAGGAAGAAGTAAAGCTGTCACTATTTGCACATGACATCACTTTACTTATAGAAAACCCTAAAGACTCTGCCAAAAACTATTAGAAATAATAAACTAATATGGTAAATCAGTATACAAACATCTGATGTGTTTCTATACACTAAAGTGAATAATCATAAAGACAAATTAAAACAAACCCATTTACAATTGCATCAAAAAAAGTAAAATCCCTAGGAATAATTTTTTTTTAAGATTTTGTTTAGTTTTAGACAGAGGGGAGAGGAGGGAGAGAAACATCAATGTGTGGTTGCCTCTTGCCTGCCCCCTACTGGGGACCTGGCCTGCAACCCAGGCATGTGCCCTGACTGGGAATCAAACCAGCGACCCTTTTGGTTTGCAGGCTGGTGCTCAGTCCACTGAGGCACACCAGCCAGGGCCCTAGGAAGAAATTTAAGCAAGGAGGTGAAAGACCTGTATGTGGCTGATAACCTTTGCCTCCCTGTTCAGGCGCCAGATGGGGTGGACCCTGGCCAGCAGAGTCCGCCTGTTGTGGCTTACAGTGAGAATGAATGCACAAGGGACAACAATCCTGTGGAGAAAAAGGGAACAGGCACGACTACTCTCTCAAGGGGAGAGTTCCTGTAGGTGCCTCAGCCACTCCCTCAAGAGGGGAGCGCCCCGACCCCTTGCCTAGACAGGCTTTTATTGTTTTCCTGGGGTCTTACATCATAGAAACATTTATTATCTATCACATAGAACATTATTGTCTACATTCTAGGTACAATCAAGAAAATGAAAATAACATGCCGAGGGGAATGACGATGAGCTGATTAGCTCTGCCCTTGAGAGAACTCATACAGACTTTGGAAATTACCTTGAAGATAGACAATACATATTTGTTGTTTTAGACCAGGGTGATGGAGTTTTAGCAAGAGCAAGCCATAACAATCTGTATGCATTTTCTAGGCCTGATACCCACGGGAAAACTCGGTTTGAATGTCTGGCTCCTGCCCACCACTTCGCTTCTGTAGGTTTTCCATACGGAGCTGAGTCACATTTGCCAGGCCAAAACAAACCAGTCCCCTACACCTATACACTGAAAACTATAAGAGACTGTTGAAAGAAATTAAGAAAGACACAAAGAAATGGAAAGATGACCAGTGCTCATAGATCGGAAGAATTAATATTGTTAAAATGTCCATAATCCCTATAATCTACAAATTCAATGCAATCCCTATTAAAATCCCAATGGCTTTTTTCACAAAAATACAATTAAAAAATCCTAAAATATTACGGAACTGTAAGAGACCTTGAATACCCAAAGCAATTGACAAATAGAACAATGTCAGAGGTATCACACTCCCTAATTTCAAACTACACTACAAAGCTACAATAACCAAAATAGTATGGTGTTAACAGAAAAACAGACACAGTGATCACAATGGAACAGAATTGAGAGCCCAGAAATAAACCCACGCTTATATGGACAATTTACAATAAAGTAGTCAAGAACATACAATGGAGAAAGGAAAGTTTCTTTAATACAGCTTTTTTAAGTATTTTTTATTGATTATGCTATTAGTTTTCCCAATTTTCCCCTTTATCCTCCCTCTGCCCTGCAACCCCCAACCCTCCAGCATTCCCTCCCCTTAGTTCATGTCCATGGGTTGTACACATAAGTTCTTTGAGTTCTCTGTTTCCTATACCCCTTTTTATCTCTCCCCATCTATTTTATGCCTACTAATTAAGCTTCTTCTTCCCTGTACCTTTTCCCCCAATTCCTCCCCTCCCTGCTATTTTTCCCTTCCCTCTCCCTACTGAAATCCCTCTATGTGATGTCCATTTATTTGATTCTGTTCCTGTTCTAGTTGTTTGCTTAGGTTTTGTTTTCATTGTTTTTCTTTTAGGTTTATTTTTTGATAGTCGTGAGTTTATTGTCATTTTACTGTTCATAATTTTGATCTTCTTTTTCTTAGATAAGTCCCCTTAACATTTTGTATGATAAGGGCTGGGTGATGATGAACTCCTTGAACTTGACCTTATCTGGGAAGCACTTTATCTGCCTTTCCACTCTAAATGATAACTTTGCTGGATAGAGTCATCTTGGATGTAGGTCCTTACCTTTTATGACTTGGAATACCTCTTTCCAGCCCCTTCTTGCCTGCAAAGTTTCTTTTGAGAAATCAGGTGATAGTCTTATGGGAACTCCTTTGTACATAATTCTTTCCTTTCCTCTTGCTGCTTTTAAGATTGTCTCTTTGCCTTTAATCCTGGGTAACTTGATGATTTGCTTTGGTGTGTTCCTCTCTGGGTCCAACTTCCCTGGAACTCTCTGAGCTTCCTGGACTTCCTGGAAGTCTATTTCCCTTACCAGATTGGGGAAGTTTTCCTTCATTATTTGTTCAAATAAGTTTTCAATTTCTTGCTCTTGTTCTCCTTCTGGCACCCCTATAATTCAGGTATTGGAACATTTCAGGTTGTCCCAGAGGTTCGTAAGTCTCTCTTCACGTTTTTTAATTCTTGTTTCTTCATTCTGTTCTGGTTGAATGTTTATTTTTTTCCTTTTGTTCCAAATCATTGCTTTGAGTCCTGGTTTCCTTCCTGTGACTGTTGGTTCCCTGAGTATTTTGCTTTATTTTAGTTTGGGTATCTTTCATTTGTTTTTGTTTGTTTGCTTGTTTGTTTTTTTCATTTTGCAGCCACGCTCAATCAGATATGTGACCATTTTGATCACCAGGGCTTTAAATTCTCCATCTAATAGTTCAGCTATCTCCTCATCGTTTAGCTCTCTTTCTGAAGTTTTGCTCTGTTCTTTAACTTGGTCCCTATTTCTTTGTCTCAGCGCACCTGATAAGTTGTAAGGGGCCAGAGCCTTATGTACTCACCAGGGCAGGGCAACCCTCTTTGCTGTGCTGCAGTGCTGCCTGTGAGGGAGGAGCCAGAGAGGGAACAGTACGGCTCACTTGCTGGCCTCTAGCCCACATTTCAACGAACTCTCATGGGAGACTGGGAGTTTCTCCCACTGCAGCACCAGCTGTAGTCCACAGTCAGTCAGAGTCTCAGTTTTGCCTTCAGCCAGTCCCCCAACCCCCGTGTGGACCACCACCTCATCATGGGTTCTTACAGGCTTGGTTGTTCTGTTTGACTATTTCTTTAATTCCTTGGTTGTCAGAGTTCCATGCAGTTTGATTTTCTGGCACTTCTGGCTGTCTATTGATTTTAGATTGGTTGTTATCCTCCTTTTGGTTGTGCGAGGAAACAAAGGGTTTCTACCTATGCCTCCATCTTGGCTGGAACTTAATGCATAGTGTTGACTTGAACAGAAGACCCAAAACATAAAATACACAGAAGAAAGCATAGCCAATAAGCTTCTTGACATTGGTCTCAGCTATATTTTGGGGGTTTTACTCCTATAGCAAGGGAAACAAAAGCAAAAATAAATGTGACTACATACAACTAAAAAGCTTCTGCACAGCAAAGGAAACCATCAATAAAGTGAAAAGGCAATATAGCAAATCGGAAGAGATAATTTGCAAATCATACATCCATAAGGGGTTAATATTCAAAATAATATTTTAAAAACTCATGCGTTTCCACAACTAAAAAACGAGCAAGAGATCTGAATAGATATATTTACAAAGAAGAAGACATACATATGGCTAACAGGTAAAAAGAATCACTATCACCAGTTTCTAGGAAATGCAGATGAAAAGCACAGTGTGATATCATCACCTCACACCTGTTAGAATGGCTGCCATCAAAATGACAAGAAACAACAAGTGTTGGAGAGGATGTGGAGGAAAGGGAACCCTCATGACACTGACGGTGGGAATATAAATTATTATAGTCACTATGGAAAATAGTATGGGGGATCCTCAATAACTTAAGAATAGAACTACCGTATAGTGTAGCAAATCCACTTCTGGATATTTAGCTGAAGAAATCCAAAACACTAATTTAAAATGACATCTGCACACCTATGTTCATTGCACCATCATTTATAACAGCCAAGATGTGGAAGCATCATAAATATAAATGTCCATTGATGGATGAATGGATAAAGAAGAGCTGGTATACATATACAATGGACTGTTACTCAGCCATTGAAAAAAAGGAGAAAGAAATGTTGCCATTTATGATAGTATGGATGGACCTAGAGGATGTAATGCTAAGTGAAATAAGCCAGAGAAAGACAAATACCACATGATCTCCACTAATATGTGGAGTCTATAAAACAAAAGAAATGAACAAACAAAACAAATACACCCATGGATACAGAAATATTTGATGATTGACAGATGGGAGGGGGTTGGGGGGTAAAAAAGATGAAGAGATTAAAAAGTACAAACTGCCAGTTATTAAAATATTTACAGGTATGTAAAGTACAACATAGGGAGTATCACCAATAATATTATAATAACTATGTATGGTGTCAGATCAGTACTAGACTTATTGGGGTGATTATTTTGTAAGTCATATAATTGTCTAATCACTATGTTGTACACCTGAAACTAATAAAATATTATGTCAACTGTAATTGAAAGATTTTTTAAAATTCTGTAAATGAAAAAATAAAATTTCATAGCTGAAAATACAAATAACTCCAAGTCTTGGAAAAGACTCGTGCTATTTTAGGAAGGATCCAGAGTGAGCACCATGATTTATTTGTAACCTTTTGTCATGAAAAATGTAAGCTGTAGGTCATTTAAACCAATACGTCTGGTTTGGGGTTTCTGTTCGTTATGTTAACAGAACCAACAGATTTTTTCATTTGATATTTCCTATGTTTTTATCATACTGATTTTCAATGTATTTTGTCTTTTATTTTCAGAAAGAGTTTTGGAACACCTATACAAAAGCGCAACAAGGAGAGAGTAACAGAGGAAGTGACTGGTTTCAGTTTTATCTTACCTTTCCATTAATTTTTGGCCTCTTTATTATCCTCCTTGTCATTTTCCTAATCTGGAGATGCTTCCTAAGAAACAAAACTCGCAGGCAGACAGTGACTGAAAGTCACATCCCTTTCCCCCAGCATCTTAATATTATTACTCCATCTCCTCCACCAGATGAAGTGTTTGATAGCAGTGGAATGTCACCAGGCTTTCTGGAATATGTAGTTGGGCGTTCAGATTCTGTCTCTACTCGCCTGTCCAACTGTGATCCTCCACCAACCTATGAAGAAGCCACTGGCCAGGTGAACCTTCAGAGGAGTGGAACAGAACCTCATTTAGACCCACCCGCAGAGTATGAGGACATCATCAACTCCAACTCAGCCAATGCTATTGCTATGGTGCCTGTGGTCACCACTATCAAATGAAACTGCAACCTTCTTTTTACTATAATCATTTTTGGAATACTAATGAAAGAACTTTCTAGCACTTTACCACTACATAAATGTGTATTGAGTATTTTATTGGACTCTGACAGCATACCACTTCACGTTTTCTGATTTGATTTTCATTAGTTTTTGTTTCCAACTACAAAATCCTTATTTGTGCTCATTTTAGCTAGTGGAAATACATGAAGAGGGAAAAACAGTGGAGGTCTTCATGTGATGTGATGAGTTATACATATATATGTGTGTCATGTATATATACATATATACATATGTGTATGCCAGCCCAGTATATGTGCAACTGTTTTAAAAAGCTAATAACTTTTGTCTAAATCGCCTGTAAAAAGAATACTACTCACCAAAATTGGGGGGTCACCAATGTGTGTAATAGATAGCAATATGCTGTTAAATTTTGAAAGTAAGATGAACTCAGCATGTTTTCTAATTCTTACTGGCTTTTATTAACGTTTTTCTTCAACTACCTTAAAAGGAAAAAAAATGCATGTAGTCCATCTTGATTTTCAGAACATCTCAGAAAGACAGAGGGAAGGCACGGTAAGTAATAACTTGCTTATAGTGCATAGCAAGAAAATTATTGGTCATTAGTGGCATTTGGCTAGTTTTGTAGGAGAGATTTTTGTTGTTGACTGTCCCACCCCCAATTAAACAGTGTTTGCTTACTATCTTTGAATGTCTCATGCTATCTGTAATAACATCTTGGTGGAGAGGATTTCCTTCCAACAGCATAATTTCTAAAGTAAGTGTAGGTATAAACGATAGTGAATACATAAAGACTTCTCCTTTGCTCTTTGGTGACACTAATTATTTTCTTCTTGCTGTTTCATTGCATTTTACTCTACTGTCTACTTCCTCTCCTATCACCACAGAATCTTCAAGCACCTAAGAATTTAGTCGAAATTATTGAAATTATTTTCTTAATGTTTTTGTATAGACTGAAGTCTTTGCCTGAAGATGATTGAGGCAATTTCCCATTAAATTAAGAACTGTGATTTTTATATTGCTCTCCAGTTGGTGGAGGAAGATTGCTAAGTGTGTTGTGCCAGGTGCACAATAAATCTCATTCTAATAACTTCATAGAGCTCTCATTGTCTTTGCTATTTCATTTTGTATTTTCATCAGATTTTTTTTTAATCGCAGGATTTTTTACTTTTCCCTTGGAGCAGAGTGAACAGGCTGTGAATGAACTGCCAACACAAACTAGCTCAGAAAGAAAAAATTAAGTCAGTTGTTTTCATTTGAAATTCCACAGTGTATGTACTGGTGGAAAATTCATTATATCAGTCAGGGAGATGTGTCTGCTACTCCCAAAAGCCTCCTCAGTGTTGGGTAAAATGGTGGATGAGGCCACAGAATGCAGGTTTCAAAAGTGTCATATACTGCTGCCTCCATCTCCATCTCCACTGACCCCTCCCTCAGTCTTGCTGTGGAACCAAAGGAAGAGGGAATGCTAAGGAAAATCTTAAACTACCACTGAAATGACATGAATTCTAATCCCTTTTTGCAACATACTTGCCACGGTACTTTGGGAAACACCCATATCTGATCCTCAAATTCCTTAACTCTGAAAATGCAGTAAAATCGTGGGTCCTGCCTTTCTCCAGTGGCTTCAAAGGATCTAATGAAATGGTGTGCATGAAAGTTATTTGTGAGATGTGAAGAGTCATCTAAGTGTAAGACCATAGCATTGTTCTTATTGTGCTTGAGAGAGAATTGTCTCCCTCTCTTTCTCTAAAATTTATCAGAATGTTCACATAGTGAGAAAAAGAGCAGACTGCTGCTCTGTAAATTGCTAACACGTTCCTAATCTGAGTGTAAGGGCTGTTAGTTAAACTCTCATTCTCTAGTCTATACCAAGGCTGTCCCAACTTAAAGACCATAGCCAGCTCAGCACAAACAGGATTAAGCAAATGTTAGGAAGGTATCTAAAATGTGTGTACTTAGTTAATAGGTTTTTTAGCTTTCATGGACTGAAAATGAATTCATCTTGATGTGGTCTCAGCAGAAATGACAATATTGTTTTGAATTTGGTCATGAGTACATGGTGATCTTGGCTTCTAGTGAAAGCCGCAAGTGGAAGTGTTTGCTACAGTGACTTCTGTGTGTATGGATGGATATTTTGGTTTATTTTAAAATGAAAAGCAACGCTCCTTTTGTGTACACTTTTTTAGGTCATTCATATTAGGTCTTAGATTAAACCAGTGGTTTTCCAAAGTGTGGCCCATGAGCTCCTGGGAGTCCTTCAGAGGCTAATTTCAGGGTATCTGCGAGGTCACAACTATTTTCACAATAACACAAACATTATTCGTCTTAATCGCTCTAATGCTCTGTCTCAAAACTGTTGAAAATTAAAACAATGCCCTCTTCCCACAGATCTTTTTTCTACTTTGGAAAATATAGCTATTTTTTTTTTCTTTAAAACGTTACTTATGTTAACATGCAAAGGGCTTTTTAATTTTTTAATGTATAAAGACTTTATCAGTTTTTAGTTTCATTTTCTAATGTGGCAAATATGGATAGATGTCAACTCCATAAACAAAAGCTCTTTGGCATCCAGGTCCCCAATAAATTTTAAGAGTATAGGAGGTCTGGAGACCAAAAGTCTGAGAATTGCAAGATTAGACAAAGGAGCAGAATAGAACCTTACTACGTGTGTATTCTTGCAACTTTACTTTACATTTTCAACTCCTGATAATGGATTTGATTCTGTCTCTTAGAGATACCTGAATTGCAGTATAGCGATGAATGTTGATCCCTGAAGCAAAAACCAAATTCTTAAACTGATCAATGACCATCGCTTTTTAGATGGTTAGTCAAAGAAAGCACTCTACTCCATAGTGATGACTGGCATCAGCCCCAGGTCCCCTGGCAGCATTGGCATCATGATGACAGGATAAACAAAATACCACTTTCTTCAAGAAGCATTCTCTTAGCTTTGTTTGGTTTGGTTTGATTTTGCTTTGGGTTTTACATTTTTAAAAACTCTTTGCTACCCCATCTGGTTTTATAAACTGAATTTCTTAACATTTGTTATAATTAAAGGGGCTTGTCTGGAACAATATATATTTTTATGCTTTTGCCTTTCTTACCTGATTGATATTACATTCACCTTTGGTCATTTTCAATAAAGGTTTATTTTTGCAGATATATTTAGTATCTTTTTTAAGCAGTATCTAAATTGAATCAACCAGTTTGCATTTAAATAAAGAATGGGCTTAATGGTAGATCTTCCAGTGGAATGGTTTCTAAATCTCCACATGCAGTGGTGGTGTCTGGAATCATAGAACTGGCACTATCTTGTCTCCCCATTTTGAATGCCACAGTGAATTGTATCCATTTAAAATAAATCAAATGATTTCTTTTTTTCTACCGAATAGTACAAATACTGATATTGTGTTTGATTCATTGTTAATTATGACTTCAAGATTGATGATCTGGAGGTTGCTTTAACTTGGTTCTGTGTAAATAGCATGTATTTTATTATAATATTTCACATTTTGAAACGCCTGGTTTACATTAAATTATCGTATTTAACTATTTTTATGTTTATACTAGGTAAGGTTTTTCTTATGTTTCTATGTTTTTGGTATGCTAAATAAAGCTATTTTTAAACCCAAGAGATTTCTTCTACCATGTCTTAATTTTATTATGATTAGTTAATAAACATGCTACATAAACTCTTACTAATTATGGTCTTTTTAACAAGGTAAATTATGTTTCCTTTTTTCTTATGAATGTCGGGACTATTTATCAGTAAAGAAATCAGAAATTGTCTGGTGACAACCTCAGGGTGTTATCAATAAGAAGTTACTTTCTGCGCTGCTTTTGAATGATACTAGTATGACACAAAATGGGAACACTTGCTCCAAAGTGATAGACCAAACTCTTTGCAGTAGTGTAGTTTGTCAAGTACTGGGAATAGTTTGTCTGCAGATATCAAGGAGCTGGCTTTTTCCTCCTTAGCAGAACAGCTTGCACTTGACATTTAGAAGATGAGAAAGGAAATCACAAGATGGAAACATTTGTAACCACAGGGAAGCTTCTTAAGTATAGTTTCCTACAAAGCAAAAGCTAATGTGGTATGTCACTAACCAAGGAAATGTAAATATGAGTTGATTTTTATGCTATAAAATTTTTAATTATTATATTCAAGGAGGAATTTTAAGTATAAATTATAAGTCTAAGTATCCATTTTGTAAGCATCACGCCCCAGAGTGTTGTTCAAAATATCATAACAAGGTACTTTTAAAAATTATAGCAATTGCTAAAACTTATATAAATTACATATTTGTTAATACGGCCATGAAACCTAATACCTACATCAAGACATTCCCAGCACCCCAAGAAGGCTCCCTCATTCCCCCTCCTTAGGGATAACACTATTGTCACAAATATTATAATAACTCAGTTTTTACAATTTCACAATTGGCTGTAACCATATGGACTTGCCTCTTTCCCTTTTTGAAGTCTTCAGGTATTTCAGAAAAGTTCAAGATAGAAGATCCAGAGCTGCTCTTCTGTACCTTGGTCCTCCTTGAAATTACCTACTCATTCTCTCTAATGAAGCCCTTTGTACATACCTGAAACTCTTTGAGGGCAAGAATTGTATTTGATCCTTTTAATTCACTTCCCCAAATATATCCAAAACCTAAAAGTGATGGCTTTTTAAAGACCATGAATTGACCAAAACATCAGTAGCATCCTAGTAGCTGGTCTTAATGCTTGTCTTCTGCTATGATTCTTACCACCTGCTATTTCCCTAAGCTTTTTTTCTTTTTTGTACGATGACATTTTTTTAAATTTCATTTTATTTTAATTGTTCAAGTACAGTTTTCTGCCTTTTAGTCCCATCCCAGCTCACCCTCCCAGTGCTCCCCACCACCCTCCCATTTCTACCCCCCTTGTTATTGTTCCTGTGTCCTTTATATTTGTTCCTGTAAACCTTCCCCTTCTCCCCAGAAATTCCCTCCCCTGTCCCCTCTGGTCACTGCCAGCCTGTTCTCAATCTCAATGTCTTTGGTTATATTTTGCGTGCTTATTTTGTGACATTTTGTTCACAGTAATTTTAATCACTTTTAGACTTCAAAACTCATTATAATCTTGTTCCACAGACTTATCTGACCATATTTTCTTCCACAGCTGAGATGTTAGATATTTACAAAGGGCCTACCTTGAGTAAGACACTAAAAGGATTAGAAAGCAAGGGTGCCTACAGCCCTTGCCCCCTGGGATTTTGCAATCAGATTAAGTCTGGGATAACCTTCTAATCTAATTTAGTGTAACCCTTAATTCCATTCCATATCATAGTCATGCATATCAGTCTATGTTGTGATTTTATAAGTTTTTAGTGATGGAAATCAATTTGCAAAAACTTTTCATATATCCCTAATACATATATTAAACAGATGAGACTGCAGTGGTTGACTACAGACATGGGAAGCTTGGAACCTCACCATCCGTGACCTTTCCAGTCACTCCCTCTTAGTCCAAGTCACATCAAACATTAAAATTTGATTAACGTATTTGGAAAACCACTGTAATGTGACATTTATTGATGTCCAAGTTCATAGTCCCTCATCTTCCCACAAAAAAAAAATAAAATAAAATCTACAGAATCTCCTCCACTGATAGAATTCTTCAGGGTAAAAATGCTCTTTTTGGCCCAATTGTTCCTAACTCACAATTACACCATACTGGCCAACAACATACATTATTAAAATTATGTTTGAAGAGAGAACCATGCAATGTTAATGGTTCTGATTCTTTGTGTATATCATTTCCATCATCACCATACTTCTTGCTACATTTTCAATACTCAGCCCTTTTACATTTGTAGAACATGGTTTTAATATACTCATAAATCATATTTTAATACAAGCAGAGTGATGTCAATGAAAATAGTGTGACATAGGGAATTCCAAAAGCATGTTCTTCCACAAAAGCAACAAATAAACTGGCTGTGTTGCAGCTGATCAAGGCCTGACAGGTTCACAGTATTCAGACAGAAGGAAGAAATGCACAGAGCTATGGGGAGGTTTGACATGCCTTTATTTAAGGGTATGTCTGAACTGACATGCTGCAAGCTGCATGCCCCCCTGCATGTCTCTGTGTGGCACACTGCATGTTACCTGTCTCCTCTGCGTGGCACATGTTATGGCCCTTGCTCCCCAGTGTGATACCCAGCAGGGAGCCCCTGCTGCCTTAAGTACTAGAGGCAAACAAAGCCAGTTTCAAGCCAGAAAATTATATAACAGCATAATTCTACACATGCGAACCCACTTAATGTTATGGGAACGGCTTATCGGACCCAGTCTCAAGGCTACGAGAACACTACTTATCAGGCTCATTTAAGGCTATGGGAAACTGCTTCCCTTAGTTACCCAGACACCTGGGTGAGGAAGCCAGACTGACTCCACTACCCTACGATGGCCAAATGAACAAAAAAATATATCAGAATCAACTTAATCAGAACTCTAAAAACTGAAGTTAACAGCAACCAGACAAGAAAAAAAAAAAACAGAAAACTTACCCCGGCCTTATCCCATTTTCTTTTTAGTAACATCTTGGAAAACAGCCCACATTACAGGTATTGGTTTCTATTACTAGAGGGAGCAAAATGGACTTTATTCCAAGAATTGAGGTTGGTGGCTTAGTCCTATATTTTAGCTTTCTGAAGTATCAGCTCAAAGGGCTCGCCTTTATTAATTTGCCCTACTTGGAATTTTTCCAAGTTGGAGGCAACTGCTTGGGGAGTGCTTTCAAAAATACTTAAATCATTAATAACAATTGAGGTAAATAATAGACAAATTGAAAAGCTTACGAAGAAATGCTGGGGGATACAGAGAATAAGAACCTTGAAAAGCTCCCACATGGTCTTAGGAATTGAGAAGGCCAAGCACATATCCAGAGCTGGGTGCATGCTCTAAAAAAAAAAAATCGAAGAAGACTCTGAACATCCACATTTTGTCTGACTTTCATGTTCCCCATTGGGGTAGAGTTGCATATTTTCTGGTTAGAAGTTCAAAGTTTTCCCCAACACACAGAAACCATCTGCAAAAGCCAGGATGCCATTTGGGGGAGGGGGTGGTTTTCACTTTTAGGAACTCTGATCACTAGCTGATCACTACAATAATAGAAACACTTTAGTAGCCACACATAACAAAGAATATAAGCTACAAAATGAGTTTAAAAGTCACTAAAACAAACAATTAGAATAAGTAGCAAAAACAAAGCCTGAGAAGGGAGAGTCTGATTTCCAGAGTTGTAATTCTATAATATTAATAAATAATCCCACCTACTGTTTAGTACCCAGTCCTGACTATAATATAGGAAGGCTGACCGCAGAACCCAGGCAACCATGAAGCCCATCCTACAGCTTTCACATAGGCAGAGAACTGTGCCAACAGTCTTATTCAACTGTATTCAGTCAGTGGCACACACCTCCCAACCTCACAGCTCAGGCAGCGGACTCACCCCAAAACAGACCCTGACAGCAAGCCCAACTGCCCAAAGACATTACCAGCAGACGCATCCAGAAATCCAAACTGAGCTGCCTGGTGAAGAACTTTCTCTACCAAATCGAACCTGTAAAATCTGGAAGAGGATACCATTCACTCAAATGCACAGACATTAACATAAGGAGTAAAAGATCATGAAAAATCAGATAAATATGACACCACCAAAGGACACTCATAAAGCTGTGATAACTGACCCTAAAGAAATGGAGATCCACAAACTGTCAAAGAATTCAAAATAATCATTTTATTATTTTTTTATTGATTATAGAGAGAGGAAGGGGGGAGAGAGACAGAAACATCAATTTGTTATTCTACTTATTTATATATTCGTTGGTTGTTTCTTATATGTATCCTAACCAGTGTGTGAACGCCCAACCTTGGTGCATCAGGACAACACTCTAACCAACTGAGCTATCAACCCAGGGCCTAGAATAATCCTTTTAAAGATTAGTGAACTATACACACACACAACAAATTTAGGAAAATAATACATAGACAAATGAGAAGTTAAAGAAAATGGAAACAATTTTTAAAAACAGAAATCATAGAGCTAAAAAAAAAATACAGTAACTTAACTGAGTAATTCCATACACAGCTTCAAAAGGAGACTGAATATGCCAAAGAAAGAATCAGTGACTTAGAAGACAGGATATTTGAAATCACCCAGTCAGAAGGAAAAAGTGAATAAAGCCTACAGGACATATGGGACACAATCATAAGAAACAATATTTTCTACCATATGATCTCACCGTTAACAGGAAGCTAAATAACAAAACAAACAAGCGAGCAAAATAAAAACAACGACACTGAAATCGAGAACAGGGGGACAGCGACCGGAGGGTAGAGAGGAGGGAATTTCAGGGGGAAAAAAGGAAGGATTTACAGGAACTAGCATAAAGGACACATGGACAACAACTAAGGGGGGTGGAAAGGGGAGGTAGGTGGGGGGTACCGGGGGGTGGGCTGGGAAGGTTGTAAAAGAAAGAATACTATAGTTGAAAAATAATTTTAAAAATTAATTAAT